ATGCAGACAAACAGCTGCACCTTCATTTGCGTCTTTTGAAAACAGCAAGAGCAGCAGTTCGTCTTTGCTGTGTCACTGTTTTGTCATGTTTCTGTGCTGCTGTGCATGCAAAAGTACTTAGTATGAGAATTATTTCATGCAAAACTTTTTTTTTTGCGTTTTATTTAGCCGCGCATAAATGTATGCCTATCTCTCATTCCGTGTTGTTCAAAAAGCTTGCTCCACAAACAAAAGCGAAACCTATGCTTATTGGTTGTGATATAGCGAGTTTGAACCAATCTGGGCATGGAGGAGGGACAATGCATCAATGTATCATGTCTGATTTGTCCGGAGACACAGTGACGAGCGTTTCTTTGTCAAATCAGCGTTGTCAAATTTTGATGACGTAACCGCACTGATTCCGGAGCCTCTGGAAGTCCGAATGTTATGTGATACAGCACTGGAAAGCTGAGATTCTCTTCTTTATGTCAATCTTTGAATTGTATGAATCGGATCAGCGGATCAAAAGTTATTAAACATTTAAGAGCAATACTTATTTTTAGCTGCGGGCGGCTGTCTCGGTCTTTAAGGGTTAAAACCGTTGATATGCAATTGTTCATGGTATGATAATCGTGCACGTTCAAATCGTGGTAAACCGTCATACCGGTATATTGTTACAACCCTAATGGGGAAGAATGGTGATTTAAATGACTTGAAGCTGGTTTGAGTATTTCAGAAACTGCTGATATACTGATATATTCACACACAACCTTCTCTATGGTTTACAGAGAATGGTCCGAAAAAGAAAATATCCAGTGAGCGGCAGTTCTATGGGCGCAAATGCCAGACTGGTTCGAGCTAACAGAAAGGCAACAGTACCTCAAATTACAACTCGTTACAACCAAGGTAAGAAGAAGAGCATCTCTGAACAACGCACAACACATTAAATCTAAAGCAGATGAGCTACAGCAGCAGAACACCACACCGGGTGCCACTCCTGCCAGCTAAGAACAGGAAACTGGGGCTACAATTCACACAGGCTCACCAAAATTGGACAATAGAAGATTAGAAGTGGTCTGATGAGTCTCAATTTCTGCTGGGACACTCGGATGGTAGGGTCAAAATTTGGCATTCACAACATGAAAGCATGGATTCATCCTGCCTTGTATCAACAATTCAGGCTGGTGGTGGTGTTGTAATGGTGTGGGGAATACTTTCTTGGCACACTTTGGGCCCATTAGTACCAATTAGGCATCGTGTCACAGCCACAGCCTACCTGTGTATTGATTCTGACCATGTCCATCCTTTTATGACCACAGTGTACCCATCTACTGATGGCTACTTCCAGCAGGATAACGCACCATGCCATAAAGTGTGAATCATCTCAGTCTAGTTTCTTGAACATGACAATGAGTTCACTGTACTCAACTGGCCTCCACAGTCACCAGATCTCAATCCAATAGAGCACCTTTAGGATATGGTGAAACAGGAGATTCAATATTGATAGCCATTTTGGACCAAGGAATATTTCCAGTGCCTTGTTGAATCTATGCCACAAAAGATTAAGTCAGTTCTGAAATCAAAAGGCGGTCCAACCCAGTACTAGTAAGGTGTACAGGGCTCAACAATAAGGACTACCCAGTGGCCCGGGGCCAGTGTGAAAGACACTCGGGACAGTAGACAGGATTGTTACTGGCCCCTATCGGCCAGTAATGTTGAGCACGTTTTTTTTTTTTTGTTTTTTTTGTAACGTGGTAACAACCAGTACAACGAAAAGATGGCAACATGGCGGCAAAATTAAACAATGAGGCTAAAAGAAAACGTCTGTTTCTAAAGTCTTAGAAGCAGACAATTACATGGGAACAAAATTAAGAAACTGAAAAAAAAAAAGTCAGTTTGACAAGCCATTTTTATAAAAATTATTTAGAATTGCATTAAAACACCCGCACATTTTTCATACTGCTCTTTCATTTGCATAAAATCTTGAATTTTGCTCATTATACATTTATAAACATATTTAAAATGTTTAAATTCTAGATTCACAGGCATACTTTTGCCATTATTTAAAATATGTGGTTAAGAAATAGCTATTAACCTTTTAGTTTTTTTTTTTTTGGTGGGGCCAGTGAAAATTTTGGCAGGGCAAGTAAAAATCTCAACCAATGGCCCGATTGGACCCATATAAAAAATCCTTAGCGTTGAACCCTGGTGTACCTAATAAAGTGGCGGGTGAGTGTATATTATAGTGCTTGCAACCATTTAGAAACAATAAATGTTTAAAACGGCTTATTATATTCTGGTCCCGTGATACAGCTTGAGTCCCTCCTTAATTGTAAGTCTTACAAAATTTCACGCCAGCCAAATGAAAAGCATAAATCAGATTACTCAGACAGGTAATAACACCTCTCCTCAATGTAAGACATTGTTCATTTTTGTAGAATAAACACAGAGGGGAGAGATGCGAGTGCAGTATGTTAGTTATGGACATGTTCAAACAGCAAAGCTAAAATATGAGCAATAAGGAACCACAGGCTAAATTAATTGCATTCTATTTTTATAGATATAATTTCTATCTAAAAGGCATTTCCAGTCAATTGAAAGCAACAAACTTTAATTTAAAAACTAATTCATTACGAGTTTAACATAAATACATTTTAAATCCCATTGTTTAACTGTTAGTATTATTATATTTCTATCACAACATCTTTCCTTTTATAGCTTTAATTCTAACAACATATCATAAAGACACTCAAGTATAATGGTTTGACTTCCATCAACAGGTCAAACTGCTTTTGGGTTACTCTCTGGGCACTCTTCATGTTCATAAAAGTCCTAATAAACACCATGAAACTTCCCTTACAGTCATGGCTTCAGTAGCTGAAATTCTAGCACAAGTGTGAACAACCTACTGTAATTTGAAAGCTACAAATCATATGCAGCAGAAGGTCTCGAAGTTATTCAAGGCATTCTTCGCAGTTGCAAAACAATCATAAAGTCACAGGGACTCCCGTGTCTGTAAGGGAAGTACAGTCACCAAAGAGTCTGCAGCAGTAAACAGGCAATCTGAATGGAATGCAACAGTCAGGGATGACTATTGCAATACAATAATAGTTACAGTCACAACAACAAGAGTCTAAGAGCTCTTGCAAAAAAAAAAAGAGGTACAGAAATCAATATAGTTCAAAAACAGTATCAATGTTTGATTAAGGAACGCATCACACACTTAGTTGCAAGAAATGCATGCATGTGCATATCTGAACTCAACCTTCACACTTTAGAAAATGTTTAATATACAGTGCTACTCAAAATGAAAATGAATATTTTTATTAATTTCTCAGAGAATATAGGCAATGTATTTTTGTGCATTTAAACAAAACTCATTTATTAAACAGATTTTTTTATTTTTAATAATAATTTAGTCACCAAACATATTTAAAAATTAAAAGATAATATAATTAAATTTAAGCAAAATATTGCTATATATATATATATATATATATATATATATATATATATATATATATATATATATATATATATATATAGTTGAAGTCAGAATTATTAGCCCCCTTGAATTATTAGCACCACTGTTTATTTTTCCCCCAATTTCTGTTTAATAAAGGGAAGATTGTTTCAGCACATTTCTAAGCATAATAGTTTTAAAAACCTATTTCTAATAAATGATTTATTTTATCTTAGCCATGATGACAGTAAATAATATTTTACTTGATATTTTTAAGACACTTCTATACAGCAGTGAAGTGACATTTAAAGGCTTAACTAGGTTAATAAGGTGAACTAGGCAGGTTAGGGTAATTAGGCAAGTTATTCTATAACGATGGTTTGTTCTGTACACTATCGAAAAAAAAATTCGCTTAAAGAGGCTAATAATTTTGTCCCAAAAATAGTTTTTAAAATTCAAAACTGCTTTTATTCTAGCTGAAATAAAACAAATAAGACTTTTTCTATAAGAAAAAATATTATCAGACATACTGTGAAAATTTCCTTGCTCTGTCAAACATCATTTGGCAAATATTTAAAAAAGAAAAAAATCAAAAGGGGGCTAATAATTCTGACTTCAACTGTATGTATATGTATAATTTGTTTTTGCGAATTTGTACTAGTTTTTGGACCACAACTTATTTTGTTAGAAAAGCTCCATATTTGGCTTTAGTACTAACTAATCTAATGTATATGCACAAATATAATAGTCTAAAGCTTCCTATTAAAAATATTAATTTAAAAGATAGATTTGTGAGGGGTGTACTTATATTTGCTGAACATAGTTCCTTTGATTATTCTAGCATATAGTGTAACATATTTTTATAACATGCACTTTCCCATTGCTTGAAATGTTTAAACTACAATATACTGCATGTCGAATGAACTAAAATCTTATGCTCAAAACTGAAAAGGCATCCAAAAATATATTCAATTATTTTAGATTATAAACAGCAACACATTTCTGAGCTATAAGCATGCATTATATTTTTTTCGAAATGCACTTTACTTGAATTCTTTTGCTTTATATTATATGTTGGTGGCTTAAAAAAGAACCCAAAAATTATATTACACTATTTATTATATATTTATTTATTATTAACAAAGAAATTTGATTGTTTTTTATACATCCTCGTGCATATGTATGCATTATATAGTAACATCAACACTCTCTATGCCTAAAATTTAAATTAATGCAATACACTGTAAATGAATCATGCATAATGCAGTGTATTCTCCAGACATGCCGTTTACCAAAGCTCGAAATGATGTGAGACATGTGGCAAATATAGGTCAGTGCATTTTACAGCCTTCACGCTGTTGCATTGTAATGACAGATCTACAGTATGCCTTTATAGAGTTTACATAACAAACCTTTGGATGGAATCTGACATATTAATGCCAGTTCAACATCACCTTACATTAAACTGCAGAAAATCACAGCTATGCATTATAACACATAACCTATACATATACTGCAGAGTGGAGACAGAGAGATTCATACAGTAAATGCACTGTACCTTATTACTGAGATTCTCTTTGTTGTTGCCAGCTTTACTTCTTCTCAATTTGATGGAAGGTGACCGTAGCAGATTTTTAATCCGACTTTTGATAGTTGTATTTTCCACTGTCATCTTGATTCGCTGTGCTGTTGAATCAGTGTTTCCAGCAAACAAACGGCGGGTCAGCCGAAAGCCCTTCGCTCTACAATCACAGTCGGTAATCAATCACACGATACGCGTTTAAAGCAAGCCATGATCTGATCACAGCCATTTAATTCGCATACTAAAACCCATTCACCGGAACCGTCATCGCGAATCCCCTCTATAAACGCTTTAAATCCCGTGCGGTGTTCCTGTCTGAGTGAGACGCGCTTCCCACGGACGTCCATTCGTTAAAACGGACCATGTTTAGTGTTTCGAGTCAGCAGTTTGACGGTGAGCCGGTCTGAGCTCCGCAAATCACCCACAGTCGTGATACCTTCACCGGTACGGTCTGTGTATTTACAAATCCTACTACTGTAAAGAGCACGCTCATGAATATTACCTCAACAACGATAAAATTGCCTTTTCGGCTATTCTGATTGGCTGAAAATATGACGTAGGGAGGCGGGTGCTGCGCAGCTGACCAATAAATAATCCTGATTTGGGGGACCGCTTTACTTGCTAATGTTAATAAATGGCGTCACTTGGTGCCCCTGTAAAGTAGCGAGATTGACCTAATTAATATTAAAATATGCCTTAGCCATAGTATACTTTAAGTACACAGCACGCATGACTACTTGTCGGATTATACTGCACATATGGGCGGTTGTGTGATACTGCAGTGTTGCTCTAAGGTGTAGACAATTCGTTTACTTTAGGCAAACTGTTTATTTTGATGTTCGAACAACAGGTTAGAGAGTAGGAAACTGAAAACTTTAAATTAGTTTTGACTTTTTTCCCCGAATAGGAACATCCAGCTTTGCGTTTTGGATCCTGGTACCTGGTTTATAGTTTAAAGCAGGGGTGCCCAAACTTTTTCTAACGAATGGCCAAAAAAAAAAAAAAAAAAAAAAAAAAAACTTGATTGAAAGTGCTGGACCTAAATATACCAAACTATGTTACATTAAAGTTTCCATGGTAACTTCCTAATTTAATCATATTAAAAATATACAGAAAAAAGAATTTACTTGTACCAATGCTTAATTATATATGTTTTACAGTTTATAATGAATAAATACAATAAAACCATAAACAATCTCATTTATGACCAGGGCCAGACAGAATCTGTTGATATTTTTTGACATTTCTGCACGTGATTTTGTAAAAATAAATCTACAAATTTATACTGAATGATTTTAAAGTAACATAACTGAAACTTATATGAAGTAAAAATAATAGGCTACCTTTTTAAATATTTACTTAATGTTAACAATGTGAATCCTATTAGATCCACCTAACAAAGCTAAACAAAGCAAGTATCTAAAATAAAATCGACTAAAAAACAGACAATATTACTTTACAAACTGAATTCTAAATAAATCATATAAGCATTTTCATATTAGTCAATAATATTACTAAAATTAATTTAAAAACTAAATAAATATACATTTACACACAAGTAAATGTATAGACTCAATATGGGCTAAAAATCTGTGGAAATCTGCAGATTTCTAAGCGTGCAGATTCTGTGTGGGCCCATTTATGACACACTAGAGTTAAATTATATATATAGGGATTCATTACCCTCTAAAATATCTGATCAATTCACATTTAATTGAAACATTTAATTTAGTTTTTTTGTAGCTCCGCAATTAAACAAACAAACGGTTATGTAAAATTAGAAATAGCAATCTCTGTTTATAGGTGGCTTGCAGGCCCTAATTTGGGCATCTCTGATTTAAAGGGATAGTTCACTCAAAAATGGAAATTTTGTTAACATTATCAGAAGAAACTGACTTCACACACACACACACACACACACACACACACACACACACACACACACACACACACACACACACACACACATATATATATATATATATATATATATATATATATATATATATATATATTCATTTATTTTTTCCAGTGGTTACAGGTTTTCATCTTTCTTCCAAATATCTATCTATTGTGTTCAGCGAAATCATGAAACTCATAATGGTTTTGAAACTACTTAAATAGGCAGTAAATATTTTATTTTGGGTTAACTATCCCAACTATTTAAGTTGTTGCTTGCCAAAATGAAAGATAATTGGGTTTGATTTTACAGTAGTGGTTCCTATGTAAACACTGAATTGTTACAATTCTTCAGCCAGGACTTAATGTCACTCTGTAAAGAATACAGATGTACATTATAAATGAAGGAGATAAACTCCATCCATGGTGAACAATGAAGAGTGTTCATGGATTTCAAATACAAACAAATTTATGACAATAAACAAATTCAACCTGCCCTGTCAGACTGAAGACAATAGCAGCTTTTTTATTTACGATTCATCACCTGCCCTTCACACTTGGTTGTAAACTGAAACTCAATAGATTCAATCCTTATACTTTTTACAGTTAACATTTATTAGCTGGAATGACATTTGGCTGGTGTATAACTTTAGTTTACAGCCAACATCAAGTCTGCCATCTAGTGATGCAAAGTAGTACCTTACAACAAGGTTGCCAAGAATTCTGCCAAGGGTTGTTTCAGAGTTGACATATTGCATCAATTGTATTTTGGTTGCGCTGAAATATTTCACTCTACCAAATCTATATTTTACCAATGATTACTGAAATAATAGGACGAGACACAGAGTTTGTTTCCATTGTAAAATATTAGTAAAGAGGATTTTCCAGGATTGTTGCTGAATAGCTGCATAAATAGCTAAATCTACAGTCCATAAATTAACAGTTCAGTTAATATCTGCAAAGTTTTATTTCAGATTTTTAAAAATACTTTTACAAGTTGAAACAGAATAGAAGCTAAATTGTTCGTAGTGTTTGTGTGTGAATGAGTGTGCATGGATGTTTCCCAGTGATGGGTTGCAGCCGGAAGTGCATATGCTGCGTAAAACATATGCTGGATAAGTTGGTGGTTCATTCCGCTGTGGCAACCCCAGATTAATAAAGGGGCTAAGCCGAAAAAGACAATGACTGAATGAATTTCACAAGTTGACTTCTGTTGGGAGTTATTCTTTCCCCCTGCATTTTAACTGGACAGCATATGGCAGTCACATGAGATACACCATACTAGCTGTGCAGTCTTAAATTAATATGATATTTGTAGGATAACAGGATCTTTAAAATTACTAATATGCAATTATCAAAGAAGAAACAATGTAAAATTATACGTTTTTTGACTGGCCATTGGGCTAACTTGTGTTGTTAAAACCTGGCAGCAACTCCTTGCGATTTTTGGTTGACATTTTGTTATATTCAGCAGTAGACTCAACTTGACCAGCATATTAAAGTATGACCAACTTCACAACATTTTAAAGATAGAAACTGTTTGAAATTTATAACAATGAGACAAAGAGATAAAATCTTTACTTGCCTTGTCACGAAGAAGTCATACAGCGATTGTTTATAACAAGGAGTTTAAAAACAATCATAAACAGGGCTGGGCGATAGCCAAAAATCTCGAGAATTATTTTTCATATTGAAGGATAACTAAAAGAGTACCCCAACAATGACTAAAGCCACGAAAATTAAGGGGTCCATTAAATGACAACATTTTAGACCACATTTTCGGTGGCCAAAAATTAGGTATATCTCTAATATCAACACACTTCTAGATTCCCATTGTTACATATTTCTGCTGTGTGATTGGCTCTTAAATCAATATAGAGTAAAAAAAAGTCCAGAACTTATCGTTGTTGTTCACATGAATTTTATTGCGATTCGATATAATATGTAATGCAAACAAAAGGAAAAGCTTAAAAGCATAAGCACAAGAGAACATGAAGACAAACTCACATTTACACACCTAGACATCTGTGGTAATTTCACCAATTCAGGTTTTTTCTGTTGTGTTTTTGGATCCATCGTTCACCTGGATCACTCCGACGGGTTCCTCTGATGGTCCAGCTAAATCTTGTTTCCTACCTACCCGTAAGACCTTTCTAGCCCAGTTTGCCAACACAACCATAGGAGGCGGTTCTCCAGGTCCCCACTGCATGTGGAATATTAGAGGATCGAGACACGCATTGAGACAGTACAGTATTTGGGAGACTTCGGAGAGAAGGTTGACCACCCATGCGACCCAGCAAGCATTTTTACAAAAATCCAAAGTGTAGAAAATGATACAGGCAATGATGTGAAGCAGCTGAGCTGGCACCCAACACACCAGGAAGTTGGCAATGAAAACTGCAATCAGCCAGATGGTCTTGTCCAGGCCCTGCATGTTGCCTGGGCCCCACTGCTGCCGCGACTGCTTCATCCGGGAAATTATTTTTACATAGGACGGTATGATGATGAGCAGTGGGATGGACACCTGAATGGCATAGTAGGATAGGAGATTGTAGGTCGTTTCACTTTCCCTCAATGTAGACACCACCACCGCGCCACATACATGGATGCCATCCTCCCTGATCCAGTAAATGATGTTTGGATAATTAAAGTAAATGAAGATGGCAGTGATGGCCCAGAGCAGAAGGAAAACCAGTACAGTGTTTCGAGGGGTGCGGATCATTCGGGACTGAAAAGGAAACACAATTGCAAGGAAACGATCGGTGCTGATGGCGCAGATAAACATTGTGCTAGAAGTCATCCCGGCAAAGTAAAGGATTTTCACCACAAAACAGAGTGGGCGGCCCATTTTCCAGTGGTAGTCCGAGCAAATGTAGGCAGCCCAGGGTCCTACAGAGGCCAGATAGGCAAGATCACACAGGGCCATGTTCAGGACACCTATGGACCCAATACTCCAAGGTTGGGATGGCCGCATGCAAGCCCACAGGCTCCAGAGATTACCAATTGTCCCAAAAATGGTAAGTCCATAAAAGACAAAAGATATGGAGGATGAGATGTACTTGCGGTTGGACGGACAGTCCATGTATGGAACCAAAGGAAGGGCCAGATCATTGGAGTAGGTGCAGTTCTTTGCCCAAGCCCAAGAAATGTTGTTTACTGCCGACATGTCTTCGGCTCGGTCTATATCATTTGTAAATTTAAAAAAAGGTAAAGTTAGATATCTACCTCTTGTAAATAATTCATCATTTTGGTTTCGATGAAGTCAACAGAGTTTCAGGATCATTTAACATAAAGCCAATGATGCAATAAACAATAGACGTACCTTACCTTGAGAAATCTGAAAGAGGTTTGGGTACACCTGATTGTCGACTGCTTTATATCAACTCTGATTCTTCTTGGAAGTACATACGTATTCTCTTTGGGGAGTTGGTTGCAAGGTAATGACCATCAGTTGATAATTAGCCATTTGTGAAATTCTCTGATGTCTGTATCCGATTTAAAATGACTTCTGAATCTTTAAGGTATTTATTAATGTCTGAACTATTTGTAAAGCTATCCTAAAAGTAACATATACCCAAGTACAATGTAGAGATATGCTTTTTATTTAAGATTAAAACCATTTGTAACCTAAAAAACAGAAGCATTAATGTAGATGCGAGAAAAACTATATTTTCACAGACTTTATTGACATATCCATTGCTTTTACAAAGGTGAGAGAGCACTGATTAATAGCATATAAAAATAAGTATTTTAACAGACAGTTTTCAGACTAACAAAAGGAATAATTTTACATATTTACAACATTCAAGAAGAGTTCCCTTGCCAATATACAGGGTTTTACCAAGCTAACTTATTTACAAAATATAACAGTTTAGCATTAAATATGCAGGAAAGACCATAGCATCTTGTTTTAATGAAATTATGCAGTGTTGTTTTCGATATCTGTCTTGTCTGAATCTAAAGCAAAACAGTTGCATAGTGAGAACTTTATATATATATTCAAGCTTAAAATGAGGAATCTAACCGTCTCGCTGGTAGTGTTACACTTAAATGTTAAAACCCTTTGAAACGTGTAATTTATTCTAAAGAGGAGAAGGGTGAAGCAAGAACAGGTTTTCACATCTAAAACGTTCAAATGCCAGAAACACTCAAACCTTCCTGATTTCTTTTTAAAGCAAACAAAAAGACAAAATAATTAAAACAGCAGTAGTAACACCTCAAAAACCGCAGCAAATACTAAAGCTGATATAAAGTTTTTCTTGTATTCCTATGTTCTCATTACTATTCCTGGTATACTAATACAATAAAACCTTTCTATGGTCCAATATGCATACAGAAGAACCTTTTGAAAGGCACTCAACATAAAATATAAACTTTTAATGTATATACCCAACTTCTGAAAGAATAGTATGTTGTTCCAGAAAGGTTTAACAGGTATTATTGCCTTAACATGCATTCAATGGGCTTAACAGACAGTGATGTTTTAGCTAGATGTAAAGACAATGGCATTTGAGTAATCTCATTAGCAGATAAAGTCACGGGTGAAACCACTTTACTAATAAAAGTCACTGGGTAAATTTAATTATTCCTAAAAAGGTCACCCGGAAAAAACGCCCTCCTACTCCAGCGGAAACAACTGTTATCCGTTCACCTTGATGGCGCTAAGGGAGTAACAATCTTATGTTTAAAGATCAAGTAACTTTTTATTTTTAATGAGCTCCAGTGGGAAATAAACAACAAGCTCCAATATGGAGGGTAGAATGAGTTAACGGCTTCTTTCGACTATCGCCACAAAGAGTGGATATACAAGAGGACAATTCAATTGACGTCTTGCCGGTCAAGTATGTTGAGAATAAACAAAAAAATAACGCCAAAATTATAAAGTAAAACTGACTAAACGTCTTTGGATATCCCAGAGGCACAATATGTGGTGCCCATGGCAGCACGTCTTACACAGCAAACAAAAAAAATAAATACATATAAAAACACATCCTATTTTGTACATTAAACAACATGAGCAGCAGCTGTACCTGATTCAATGATTGGTAGATCACATTTGTGGTGTATCTTGCTCACTTGAGTCCAGATTGGGGATTGAGGGATTGATTACCTTACCAGCATCTTGAGCCTTCAACCCTAGAGGAACCAGTTTAGGCATAGGCCGCCATGTCACACTGGTTCCCTCATTGGCAGATTGGCCTGATGCAGCTTCATATGCAGCTTTCATGTGCAACAGAGGTGGGGGAGTAAGTCCATCACCTGTAGCATTGCATGTTGATGCATGTGGGCTTGAAGCATTTGTTGACTGTGCAACCCCGGATTCAGATGAAACCGAAGGGGAATCTGACCCAAAGATAACTTTGACCAGGTCATCCACTTTGGGTGGGATATCGATTTCATCTTTAGAGTCTGGGGACATCAGATCTTCATCTAGAGTTAAGAACAAAGGACTTAGAGCTCGGTCGTCTGCCGGTTCTTGATCTTCCGGTTTGTCAGAACAAGACTGTACATCACCTGGCACGGCAATTCTCTCATCTTCATCCTCATTAGTCAACTGTTGGCTAAGAAGAACAAGTTCATCCAGCAAAGACAGTAAATTTTCATCCTCAGGATCATCGCTGTCATCGGGACTCTTATTCTCCGGCACTTCTGGGTTGGACTTGGGTACAGATGCACCTTTCTGATCTTCTACGACTGATTGTTTGGGTACATTCGTGGATGGAGCCTCATCAGTCTTTTGCTCCAAATCTGGAATTTTGTCATTGGAAGAATTCTGCTGATTGTCCACAGATGTTGGCTGTGCTTGGAAAACAGGTTTATCTTCCACAACTTTCCGTGGTACTACTAGATTCTCCGCCAGAGAAATAACATTGCTGATATTTGGAAGGCTTGCAGAATCCACTGAAAATTACAATCATTTAAAAATAAATACATCTCATCAAAATGAACATCTCTGAAGTTTAAATAAAGGAAACTTACTAAATATACATAATCAGAGTAAACGGGTAACTTACCTTTTGTGTTAATATTAACAGGACTGTTTGTGATTTTAATAAACTGAGGGTGCAACATAGGAAGAGTATTTTCCACTCGAAGCGGGTGAGATATTGTGGGAACTATAGACACAGAGGCTACACCTAGTTGAATAAGATAAAAACAACAATACAAATGCTTATCAACAAACCACTTTTTTTTCATTATAGAACTTTTAAAAGAATTGTTAACCTGTTTGGAGACAAACCTGGTGTAGATGATTGTTGTCCAACTGAGGTGATGCCAATCGGTTGAAGTGAGTTGTTTATGGTTATGATTTGATTGCATGGAACCATGGTATTCATCAGAGGTAATACTTGAGGTATACACACTGAATTAAACAACAAAATATGTGAACATCCGAAACCAAGTTGCATCTACATTGCAAATATATGTAAATGTCTCTCATACTAACCATTAGTTAAAAGAGACTCTTTGACTGGAGATCCTTGCATCGCCTGAGATGAGGCACGCGAAAGAATGTTTGGCCGCATTCTCTCACGTGTGATTGGAGGATGTTTAATAGGACTTGGGATAGAGACTGGTTTCATGACTAAAGTGGAGTTGAAAGATGGTTGAATAGGTGTTGATGTAGTTGTTACTGTATTAGTATCCAGAACGTTAAGAGTGTTTTTATTACCATCAAGGTCTGCAGGCACTGAGACTGATGGTGTAGATTTAGGAACACTTTCAGTCATTTCCGGACTTTTTTGTTTTTTAATACTCAAATCTATCGGTTTGGAGGGAGAATAGGTGACTTTGGAAACATCGTTTACTTTGTTCTGGACCGCTAAACCTTTTGGTTTATCACAAACATCAACTACTTTAGATTTGGGTTTGGATTTGGGTTTGGGTTTAGCTTTGCTTTTAGCCTGGATGGGCTTGGGATGCGTCTCTTTTGTTTTAGACTGGGCCTCCAGGGCTTTTTGTTTAGAAATGATTTCATTAAGCTTCAGGCCAATGGACTCTGTACTCTTATCTGTGAACAAAAACAAATACAACCTTTGAATGCAGATGTTTACACATTCAAATGAACCCCATTTCTATAACAACACATCACAGATACATATATGAATGATTGCCTTACCACACAATTGTGAAAGTGTCTGTATGTAACGCTCTTTCTTAAATTGCAGCTTCGCTTTTTTTTCTACCAAGTAGTCCTCCAGCTTAACCAGATACTCAACTTCTTTATTAGCCTAAAAATAAAGAAGAAAACATAATAAGTCATATTTTCAGTGCAATTACAAGCATGATTTGTAGCAAAATCAACAAACCTTTGTGAGGATCCTCATCCTGGACACTTCAAATTTCTTTGAAGACATTCCCAGAGTCCCCTGAAGTTTAATAAAGCACTCACTGAGTGTTTGGCGCCTCTTTCTCTCCTTTCTTACCTTCTAAAGAAGAAGTTCCATAATGAAATGCATAAGTTTTTTTTATGTATTTTAAAATGCAAAGAAAATAACTAGTTCAGTTGTTTCCCCAGTGTGCTGGGGATACATGAAATGTAGAGGAAAAGCCTACCTGGACCCTTACTTCCAACATTTCATCATGAATGCGCTTCTGGTTACTGAAAGAGCAAAACGGTTTAAATGATGTAAGATTTTTGAGAAGAACTAGTTTATTGTCTTAAGCAAAGCATCTGTTCACCGATGCTTTCAAATACCTGGTTAAAGGCACAGCATGTAACTTTTTCTGATAAATAATGCAGCTCTGTTGAGTCTAATAAAGCACACAACATAATAAATCATCTCTGGTGTTCCCCCGTTTTCTATAAAACCAAATTGATAATCGAGGGTGTGTAACATCATTAACATGAACACACAAGACATGCTCCATCTCACTAATTAAAATCGCTTATTTCTCGGAAATTATAACATTCCTTTTAACACTTGGGATAAAGTATAAAGGGCAAAATATAAAATGTGGTTTAGTTGTTTTTGAATACAGTAGTGCCTCGCTAGAATGCGGTTTATCTTTCACGGTCTTGCAGATTTTTTTGTGTGTAATTTGACATGCTTTTTTTTTTTTTTTACAGCGCATTGTGTTCTGCGTCCTGCTTACTTTGCTGCTTACACGAGCATCGCTTTTTGTCTAGTCTATTTCAAAGAGAACCGATCGCACCAGTTGCGC